ACTCATTCTCATTCTCTCTCTCTCTCTCTCTCTCTCTCTCTCTCGCTGGCTCTCTCTCAAAAATAAACATTAAAAAAATCCAAAACAAAAAAGAATATTTCAAGTAGGCACACATATGCCTTTAACAGAATTCATCAGAACATAATGGACACAATCAATAGTGTAGTCACATGCTGGTCAGACCAGGATCAGACCAGGCAGGTGCACAGCTCTCCTTAAGGGACATGGCCACAATAAGGCTTGGGGGAATACCAGCACAAGTGCTGACTATCCTCAAAACTAAAAGGGTACGAAAAACTAGAATGTAAGATAACTTTATCATTAGATTTTTTTAAAGGCCTGAAAAAACAAACTGTACTAATTTAAAAAGGCATCGGGGCGCCTGGGTGGCGCAGTCGGTTAAGCGTCCGACTTCAGCCAGGTCACGATCTCGCGGTCCGTGAGTTCGAGCCCCGCGTCGGGCTCTGGGCTGATGGCTCAGAGCCTGGAGACTGTTTCTGATTCTGTGTCTCCCTCTCTCTCTGCCCCTCCCCCGTTCATGCTCTGTCTCTCTCTGTCCCAAAAATAAATAAACGTTGAAAAAAAAAAAAATTTTTAAAAAAAAGGCATTAATCCTAGAGAAAGAAGCTTCAATTACCAAGAACCCCTGTGTTCATGAAAATTGAGGAGGGTACCTAATAATACATCATTTAATACCCCAAGGGACTCTTGTTCCTCCAGAAAACACTATCTATAAGTCTGACACAACTAAGTAACTCACGTTTTCAATGAACTGGGTATTAGACAGCATAAGGAAGTCATTGAAGACATTATGTAGGCGACAATCTGTGGCTTTAGTTTCCCGGATTAACCCATCCACTTGTTTCTTGATTTCATGGGTCCTAGAGATAGTCTGCTGTGAGAATTCCTGTAGAAACTGTAGTAGCTATTTAAAAAATAAACATACAGTAGTATCAATATCATATGAGTCTACTCCGTGTGTCAAAACAAAAAAGAACCCATTTCCTTTCACCTTTGTGTGTTAGAATGTAAGAGATGCTGCTTTCGACAACACCCAAAACCAAGTATCACTGAAAAACATTAACAAAGCTCATCCAAACAGTGGCAAGGAGTACACTGACACTTGCTATCTCGCTTCTGGACGAATTTTAAAGTCTTGTTCGGTTATCATTCTACAGAAATCCCAGATCAAGGGCAAAATAACAAACTGCCACTCTTATAAAAAGAAAAAAATCGTGTTCATATGGGACTTTGGAATCACAGTTTCGGGAGTCTTGGGTCCCCGGCCTTTAAAGAACCACTCGAGGATATCCATATACAGGCTTGTCTACCTCCCCACACAGTCCAGGTCCCAAAGTGAAATGGCCTCACTAGTGCCCTAGCAAACCCGCGGCGCAGAGATAACCTATCTGCCTCCATCAGGATGGAGATGCGAGCAGCGCTAAAAAACCCAAACAAGGAAGAGACCTGCGTCTGGGCTGCAGTCGGAGTGGGGGAACTCGGCTAAGGACGATGGGCCCGCCCCCGCCCAGGTGCCTAGGGACTGCCACAGTGGCGTTTTTGGGGAGGGATGCCTTATGAACGCATGAACAGGGGCAGCAGAATACAGCGAGTGGCGAAGGAATCGGGGTCTCCTGTCCTCCCGCTCGCAAGCCTCGGAGTCACCCCAGGCGGCCCGCCCTCCGCTCCCCTCCCTGGGGCCCGCCTCTCACGCCCGCATCGGCCGCCAGCGACCAGCTCTGGCTGCTCCTGCGGATCTCCTCCACCGACCAGGGCCGCTCCCACACGGGCTCGGACGCCGGCGCCCGCTCCTGGTCGGGGGTCGTCCGGTTCATCTGCAGCGGGAAGAATGAGAAGACGGGCTGAGGTTGGGGAAGGCACCAGCCCCGGCCCGACCCCGTTCCGACCCTGGCCCGCCGCCCTCACCATCCCAGTCGTGCAGCTCCGCGGCCTCCGGGGCAGCCACGATCGCACCCGCTGAGGTCCGCAGGTCTGCGGAAGCCAAACCCCGAGCCCCAAGCCCCGAGCCCTGCGGCCCCGGCACGTGACCAACTCTCACGTGACCCGCCCCACACGTGACCGGATGTGTGGTGCCGCCGGAAGGAAGAAGGGCGTGCAGACTACGGGCTTGAGTTAGTAGGCCTGCTGCTGGGTTCGCGTGGAAGCTGGGAGCAGGGAGGTTGCTGACGCCACGGGGTGCTGAAGGGAACGTTCGGCCAGGTTGCTCTTGACCCGGCGAGCGCAGACGGCCGCTGAGGAGCACGCTGCCGGCCCGGCTTGGCTCAGGAGGGGAGCCCGAAAGAAACCTGTGAACAACCCGCCTGGGGGCTTCTGCCTCCGCGCGAGGTGAGCGGAGCGAAAGCTACCCCCGGCTGCGTCTTTTCCTTGTTGCATCTCCGCTACCCTTCGTGAGGTTGGCGCACAGGCGCTCATTAAGTGGAGAATGACTGGCCAGTCTGGCCATCACCATGCCCGCTGACCTGCTTGGTGTCAACTCACTGCCTAGGGCCTGCATAATATCCTTTACTCCCTGGACATTACCCACAGATTCAAGCTCAGACGTCTCATAAGACAAACAAATACCTTTTATAATCTGATCCCTGCTGCGACTGTATCTTCAACCTTCCCAGTTCCCCACTAGCGCTCAGTGATCCTGCTAGTCTATTTCCACGCATCCTTTAAATTCCTTCTGCAGAGTCCCGCTTGTGCCAGACCAACTAACTAAATTATCTAAATAAAGATTCCAGTTTCTTTTCATCCCTTTGTACCCAAGGGTAAGTAAGTTATTTAACCTCCGTTAGCTTTCCTCCTCAGTAAAAGGAAGATACATATCTTGCAGGGACATGGTATTAAATGTGATGATATTCTTAAAACAGCTATCACATGTCTGCCTTAGGGCGAGCCTTAAACAGATCTTACCGCTTTCTTTTGTTTTTGCCTCTAACACCTCAGTGAAAACTTCCCCGAGTATCCCAAGTATAGTTTTAATGCCCCTGTCAGTTATTTTCTGTTTGTACAAATATCATAAAATATTACATTGTGTTATAGTGTATTTGGATATGTCTCCCTTTAATAATAATAGCTAACATTTATGAAGTGCTCAGTATTTACCATTTGATGCATGTTAATTTATTTAATTATCTCGGTGACCCAGGAAGTAGTACTATTGTCTCTTTTTTTAAATGTTTACTCATTTCTGAGAGACACACACACAAAGCATGAGTAGGGGAGGGACGGAGAGAGGGAAACAGAGGATCTGGAGCAGACTCTGCACTGGCAGCAGAGAGCCTGATGCGCTGCTCGAACTCTCGAACTGCAAGATCATGACCTGAGCTGAAGTCAGAGGCTTAACCTAAGCTGAAGTCAGAGGCTTAACCGACTGAGCCACCCAGGCATCCCAAGTACTATTATCTTTATGTTATAGTTGAAGAAACTGAGGAATCGGAAGATAAATAACTTCTTCAGAATTAGCCAGTAAAGAAGCAAGCTGGGAACTTACATAGTTAGCCACTGTTACCCTGTAGCTAGTCTTAGTTCTTTTAAAGGAACTTTTTTTTTTAATGTGTATTTATTTTGGAGAGAGAGAGAGTGAGCATGAGCAGGGGAGGGGCAAAGAGAGAACAGAGGATCCAAAGCAGGCTCTGTGCTGACAGCAGAGAACCCAACACAGGACTCAAACCCATGAACCATGAGATTATGACCTGAGTGGAAGTCAGAAACAACCGACTGAACCACCCAAGCACCCCAAAAGAACTTTATTTTTAAGTGACCATCTATCAACCTCTAGCTGTTCCCTCACATTCATTAAAAAAAAGCAAAACAAAAACCTCTTGAGTTTGGTTGGTAAAATTTAGGTGAACTGGTTACTGCACTTGGCATCTCGTCTGACATCATCATGGGCAACTTCAGGAGCCATATAATGACCCTAGCTTCGATGTGCCTCAGTAATCTCAATCAATATCCCGATTCTCTAAGCACCTTGCTTACCTACACCCTGAACCTTATCACCTGATTTTCTTCTAAATCTGGACTGCAATAAAGCAGCCTTTACTTCCTCGTCTGTTCTCAACTAACCCAAACCCATCCCTCAGTTCTCCTTTTGTCCCCCAATTCCACCCTCTTAGCTTTATTTCCTTGTCTGTTCTGCGTACAGCCCGTGATAGTAGCCTTCAACTTCCCTTGAAAGCCCTTTAATATCTGTATGTCAAGGTTCTGACACATAGTTCTGCTAGCTCCTAACTACAAATCAGTGCAATGATGTCCTTTCTCCTTTCCTGCGCCTAGGTTCGTGAATGGAATCACTACAAATTCATATTCTGCAAATTTGGCTGAACTCTCAACACTGATTAGCAGTCCTTTTGCTTATCTTTGATCTTTATACTTATACTTGATAGCTCCCTTCCATAATTTCATCACATTTTCCTTTTTTTTTTTTAATTTTTTTTTTAACATTTATTTATTTTTGAGACAGAGAGAGAGCATGAACAGGGGAGGGTCCGAGAGAGAGGGAGACAAAGATTTTGAAACAGGCTCCAGGCTCTGAACTGTCAGCACAGAGCCCGACGCAGGGCTCGAACTCACAGACCGCGAGATCATGACCTGAGCCGAAGTCGGACGCTTAACCGACTGAGCCACCCAGGCGCCCCTCGTCACGTTTTTCAAATTATCTACCCCACTTGCCTCTGCAAGAGAGAATAGACTTCTTACCTCATACTTAAGATGTTTCAATGTGTACACACCTGTATCTCATACAGTTCTTTATTTGCACACAACAGAATTCAACTGGCAAACACCAACAAAATAGAATTTGGAGAAAAAACCTGCAGAATTCACAGTTAAGGAAAAGCTAAGCAAGCAGGTCTTAGGAAGTGCATAAACCAGAGGAAATCGGGAGTCCCCTTTGAGCCACTGCCATCAGAATGACAGCCCCAATCATTTCCCTTCTTGTGTTTCTCTTCTGAACTTCCAAATTCCTAAGATAAATAAAATCTGATTGGCTCCCCTTAGGTCATACCCCCATTCCTTCCACCTCTAAGGGGGACTGAAATTGGTACTGTTAACCAAAAGCAGGGAGAAGAGATGCTAGGAAAACAAAAACAACCGGCTACATGCTCCCTTTCTTTCAGTCTCTGGAAACACTGTCCTTGCTCTTGCCCGAGATTAGTGGCCACTGTGTTCTTGATGGAAGCTTTCCAGCCTCCCCTTGGATAATGCTATCTTGAACTCCACTTCCTGTGTGTTCAATACTGCTCTCTTTACTGGTACTTCTCCCAAAGACCTTTTCAAATGTTTTTAAGTCATGCTTTTTATTGAATCTTCATATTAGAGAGCTCTTGCTCTGCCATACCCATGCCTGAGAATTCAGATGAATCTACCCATTGTACAGTATATTAAAAATTGTTTCTGGGCACCTGGCTGGCTCAGTCTGTAAAGCATGAAACTCTTGATCTAAGGGGTCATGGGTTAAAGCCCCATGTTGGGTGTGGAGCCTACTTAAAAACAAAAAACTTTTTTCCTGTGCATTTTGATAAGTTTACAATATTTTAAGTAGTTGTAATATGAGTTGGGTTTTTTTTTATGATTTACAAGATTTTATTTTTCACATAGTGGAAATAATGGCATACTCTTTATTTTTCAGTTAATGACTATAGTGTGGATATTGCTTAAAGTCAGGGAAAGGTATAACAATTTTGTTGAAGACATAAACTTCTCAGCATTACATAATCCAGTATATCTTATTTCCTAATAGTTTAATGGATATTTCATTGTTCATTAATATTAGAGGATTTAATGAGAAAAGCCACTGACATATCCAGCATTTTATTTAATTTTTTTTTAATGTTTTTATTTTTGAGAGAGAGACAGAGAGAGAGAGCGAGCAGGGTAGGGGCAGAGAGAGAGGGAGACACAGAATCCGAAGCAGGCTCCAGGCTCTAAGCTGTCAGTACAGAGCCTGACCTGGGGCTCAAACTCACGTTCATGGGATCGAGCCCCACACTGGGCTCTGTGCTGACAGCTTAGAGCCTGGAGCCTGCTTCGGATTCTGTGTCTCCCTCTCTCTCTGCCCCTACCCTGCTCGCTCTCTCTCTCTCTCTCTCTCTCTCAAAAATAAATAAACATGTTTTAAAAAGTGTTCAAATCCAGCTGGTTTTCTAAGTAATTGAGTGGTATAAATGGTGTGACTATAGTATTAGAGTTTGGGATTGTAACCAACCATCTCTAACCAAACCCCCAGTCCCTTTGCATGTACTGCTAGCTCTCTGTAGTTCTGATTGCTCTAGAGGGCTTATGAGTTTTGTTTTATAAGAACCCACAAGCCTAAGAATCCAATAATATAGATCTGACCCAATAAATCTACTAACTGTCAGTTATATGCTCTTTTTAAAGAAATGGTAGTTATGATTACTTTTTAAGTACTATTTTAGTATTTTATGAATTATATATCTAATAGTTTGGCCAAATTGAAACTCTCAAAATTACTACTACTGTTACTATTTTGCACTAGTAAATGAAGCGTGAACAGCAAATGTGTCCAACTGTGTCCCAACAGTGTCAAGCTCTACCACTGTTAAGGTTAGATTTCTTACCTCCGAGGTAGGTTTTGCCAATCGCCCTTCTCTCACCAAATTCTTTTTAATGAGACACAAAATTACTTATGATATTGTTCTTCCTTTCTGGCAAAACCCTTAGTTTAGCTCAACAAACTACTGCCTGCAAAGTGAGTTTACAACTCTTAAAATGTACTTGTAATTATTCTTTACCTGAAGTATTTTTGAAATACTGAACATCACAAAAATCTTCCATTTTATAATAACTTCTAGCTTAGTTTAAGGTA